TCCATCTTGCATTTTGAGTTCATGAACAGTTAACTTCCTCATAGCAGCGCAGAAATTAACTATTTCAAAAAGGCATCTTAGTAGCTATTGGCATAACTATATGAGAATTTAAGATGATAAAGAACTACCCCTGATCAGTTTTGCTTAAAGGTACTGTAGCAGTATTTTAATAAGCTAACTTCTACAGTTCTTGATTGTACGGGTTTTTGCCGTTGCACTTTTGCTATGAAACGTTGTGGTGGCTATTTAAACAGCCCGCGCATTAATGGTGCTTTTTGTCGCTTGTGAATGTAACTTAATATATAGTTGTATATCTGTATTAATTGGCTACATTGTTAATTATATTTTTAAGCTGTCAGAGTCAACCAGCAACATCGATATAAAACTGGAAAAACATTCCTAAAGAAAGGATTGTTTCCCACTTTCAAAACCGTTCAGGAAAGCCTCACTTATGAACAGATAAAAGGACAGCAGGAGTGCCGTTCGATAGTTCTTCTCGCCACTAAATACTTGTCAAAGTTGAACTATCTCAAAGAAAGACTTCACTCTATTCGTCAATTCATGTAAGTGGCAGGTTTTCTACATTTAGCCATTAAATTTTACTTATCGCTTCAACTGTCTAATTATGAGCATCTGACACCTGACTATGTTCATAGTAGCCGTATTTACAGGCACAGAATTATACATCTACTTAGATGAAAGTCAATGTCATGATTGAAGCTGAGGTAAAGCTATTTCAGAAAACATTGAAAACTTGTGCTGAAATGCAGTTTCAGTCTCAACCGCATCGATCGCTTAATTTTGCTTTAGTATTCCGGGCTACTTAATGAACTTTCAGCACATGATGCGCAAGTAGTTGATCACTTTTTTGGCATTTATTCTAATTGCTTTCCGGCTTGTTTTGATACGCTTTCCTTGTTTCACATAACCGGATATCGTAGGCAGTGCCATCTTTAGGGGTATTCGACATGTGCATTTCATGCTAATTCAAGTTTATTCGCCAAGATACTGCAGAGGTAAAACGACAAGCATATTACTCTTTAATAAGAAAATAATTAATAAAGAGGAAAGAGACTTCAGTGCAGCTTTACCTGAATAAATCACAAATTTTTGAACTGTGACCTGACGACTTGAGCGAAAACACTTGATTTAGCAGTGAATTCT